AGGAAGGGGAGAGTTGAGCAAGGGCGAGAGAGGGAGAAGATGGAGTTGGGAATGGGAAGATAGATGAGAGATCTTACTATGACTATGGTCTGTATTAGTTTGGGTGGGGGGTGATTAGGATTTGAGGGGAATCTGAAACCACTCATGAGGGATATTTTCGAGATCTTTTGAGCTTAGTCTCTGTGGCAGCGTACAACAGATTAAAAAAAAAGAAAATTTGCTTCTAGTCCCTAATTTCCTTACAAGTATCCCTCCCTCCTCCCAAGACTTTTTCAACGCTCCCAAAATCCCCAAAAGTAAAGTCATAATTCCCTGAGCCCCAAAACACAAAACCCAAGAGTTTAAAACATGTAAAGACCATGATACCTCCCTCTCTCTCTCATGATATTATTGTTATGATTATCTGAGTGCTATATTTTTTGTTATTTACATAATGTTATAATTTTTTTGAAATCGATGACTTGAGATTAAATTAGAGTATGTAAATTTATATATTGTTGTTATTTTATTGTAATGAGGTTGTTATTAAGCTTATGGGTTGGTGGTTGTTATGGTGTTCTCATTTCGTCAAAGTGCAACTCACTGCTAAGCAACGAACAAGTATAATTTTGCGTGCTATGCCCCAATTAACTTGACGACCAAAGACCAATAGGGACGGCAACTTAGCCGACTTGTCGAGCTGACATCCCTCCATGTCGACTCGAAAGGTGGTACTTGTCGCCCCTTTTGTTGAAGACGACTCACCACGAGTCCACCCGACCACTTGCCTGACGCCTTGCAACGTCGACTCGAAAGGCATTACTTCTCGACGAAGCTAGAGGACAACTTCTACCTTGAGCCTATCCATATGTGACAACGTGTCAGCATCGCATTTAATGATTGGCAGGGGCCATCATGACTCTAGCCCGAATAGTATTCATGACTCATCGGACCACGTGAGCCCTGACCATGCCGCCAGTATCCTCTCATTTAATGCTGAAACAACTTTCCCTCCATTCGTTGGTCGACACCTGTAAAGCAAGTACTGACGTGGCCGCCAACCCATACTTCACCACCACCTCACTGCTCTCAGCCAAAGCGACCAATTTACCCTTGCCACCTTAGTATAAATACATGTATTATTCTAACATGAAGAAGGTTCACAAATCTGATCTGTTAATGCAAATACTGCATAATAATAAGAACATGCAGTTTTTATTTTCTCACTCAAGTTTATCAGCTAACTTGATCGTTTGAGGTAAAACGGGAGAACAAAACCTCATCCTCTTACAAATCTCTACTTGTGCAAATTCTTCAGATACCTAACTCAAGAACTAGACATAAAGTCAGAGAAGAAAGCGGCCCCTCTTCAACACTGAACAAACCAATCCTATCTTGGATTTAACTAACTGTGTGATCATATAAACCATCAACAGTTTGGCGTCCACCGTGGGGCCTTCTTTTCTTTTTGAGAAAAAATGTTAGGTTCTGAGCAAGAGTCTGATCGGTCTTACCCTGTAGAACGGCGCGTGAGCTACGTTACCCAAGCTTAACTTGAGAAAACAGCTCACAAGCTCTCCCAGTCTTTCAAAGAGCAATTTACCATCTTTTTGGATGAATTTCTCCATCGACTTTCACAGCCACAACAAGCCACTTCACTTCCTCCGCAACAACAAGTCACTTCACTTCTTCCGCATTCTGAAGACTGGTAATCGGAAGCTCATCCTTCTGGAGCACAGCAAGACGCCTCACCTCGGACTCCTCATAACGCTACTAAGCAGTTGGAGAGCCACGACAAACACTCGAGCCCCCCTCCCCATCGTGAATAACATCATCGTCCTCGTCACGATGCCACTGATGAGAGTCCCGGTTCAAGCCACTTTGAAGAGCGCGCCAAGGGAGTACTTCTAGGTACCCCATCATCATACCTCTCTAGCTCCTTCAGCCACCATAGGAGCCTCCGGATACGACCAGGTGTACAGATCAGTCGTCGGCGCCATCGGGGGTAATAACCCTCTCTCCGACGACATCATAAATTCTCCATGTGAGAAGTTCAGGATGCCTCACGTGGAGAAATACAAAGGCGAAGGAGACCCCTCTGAGTATGTTCAAAATTACTATGACATAATAAGCATGCTCCAGGCTTCACAAGCGATCATCTGTCGATGCTTCCCTATCACTCTCTCAGGGAGTGTCAAGCTCTGGTGGAATGCTCTGGAAAAGAAGTCCCATCTTCTAACAACTTAGCTAAAAATTTATCCATCATTTCCTGGCTGACACCAAGCAGAAGCTACCCCCTAATGTATTGATCCAGATGATGCAAGGTCCTAAAGAGAGCCTCCGAGCCTATTTCAAGAGGTTCCGGGCAAAGAGGATAGAAGTCAATGACCCAGGGAGTGCAGTCGTCATGTCCGCACTCGTTGCCAGCCTATAAAGCAATAAGCTGGCTGACTCACTTGTCAAGAAGCCAGTTGCCAACTATGAGCAGTTAATGACCAAGGCTCATGGGTATATGGATATAGGGGATGCTTGTGCTTATAAAGCTTCGGTTAGAATCATAGAGACCTCCGCATCCACAACTTTGGCGGCATCGACTATCCTAGCTACTCCGTCGACCTCAGCAATTCCCTCGGTGGTGGCACCAACAACAGAGTTAGCCAGAGGCCCCCCTACAAAATAGGAGTGGCCAAGAGACCCTCCAAGGGTCAACCCTCATTCCAATCGGTCCAATAGGAGGGATCGATAGAAGGATCTGATGCCAAAGGTAGCTCTCACCATCTTCGACACCTCTCTTACCAATGCTCTCACTACGGTTCAAAAGGAGGGATACCTCAAAGAGTCTGCGCCTAAGATGAGGTCAAATCCTAAGAACAGCGACACCCGACAATTTTGCCGTTACCATCAGGATCACGGCCATCTCACCAACAATTGTCGAATCCTGAAGAGGAATATAGAGGACTTGATTGAGAGAGGGTACTTGAGGAACCTTGCCTCTCAGAGGGACCGCAGGGAAGATGCTCTAGCTAGAGATGATAGGAGATCCCACTCGCGATCGCCTCGTCCTCGACCACAAAAAGA